GGAGAAAATGGCTGACGTTGAATCAAGTGCTGTTGTGCAGCAATCGTCTTCAGGTGCCAGTAGCATGAGCCTAAATTCTATACCACTATTAGCGTCCAATGAGCTGCTCGGCGAAAGCAGCAGCGCTCAAGTAAATCTCCAGCAACAACAGCAACAATCACAACCCGTTGCTGGTGCTGTTAGTGGAGGTAATGGTGGCAGCGCAGGTACATCCTCGAGTTCAGTCAACAATGCGGGATCCATAACAATGGATACTACAACTAGTGAAAATACAAGTTTAGTTAATAGTGGAGTGATTGGAAGTGGTGTTGGGGGTGGTAGTAATTCGTCGAGTGTTGGTGGGGGTAAAGTGGACAGTGGTGAGCCACCATCTAAGAAGCAAATGCTCGATCATCCGAGCACATCCTCGGGCAGTGGTAATAGTGCATCGCAACACGAAAAGCTCGAGTATCGTCTGGGAGGGATTTTATGTTGTGCTGTTTGCTTGGATTTGCCGAAGACAGCTATGTATCAGGTGAGTACCTAATAATTTTACGCAAAATTGTGAAAATGAGTAGTGGGTGGAACATTTTATTTATTTTTATTTTTTATTTTTTGCATTACCTTTTTAATTTGATTAAAAAATAAAATAAATTAAAAAATGCAAGCCTATCTTGCTCGAATCAGCAACTTTAACATACGAATGTCCTAAATGCCGATAAAAACATCAAGGTAAAATAATCTCCAAAAGAAAGAAACAAACGTGGCTGTACGGACGTATGTAAAACATTTGTGCTTAAGCATACCTACATATTCTATAGTGCTTATTTGGGTATATAAACTAAATTGGTTTTAATAAGACGCAGAAAGTTCAACAATGCAAACACGCTGCCAGCTCATGAACGACAACAAACCCAAAACTTTCCTTCTCGCATACATACAGCCACTTACGTACACATGGATACACTTTTTATTTGTGTACATACAATAATAGTTTCAACAAAACTAGAATCACTTGGACAAAAGTAGGCAAGATCAGCTGTGTGTCAACGCTATGGTGCCACTATCGCGATTCCCGTTGTATTGTATTGGCTATCTACTCCCTCTCTCTACTGTGTATAGTGCCTGGGGAAGATGCATTAATACATAAGAGACGTAGTATTTAGGATTTTTTGTTAAAACAGCATATCTCATTTTAACATATTTTGATTTTTGAGCACTAATTTACGATCTTACCAAAAATTTAACTCTTAAGTGAAAGATTGGTGCTTAAAGGCATAATTGAAATATTATTCTGTTTAACAAAATATTTTAACAAAGTAAACAAAATAGTAATTAAGTGCCTTTCAACACAGAAATGCCAAATTAAAATAGTTGTAATGGATGAAAGTCTACAGAATTCAGTTGTCATAGTTTTTGTGAGTTGCTGAGCAATTGTGGTTGTTTTTTGGGTGTTCCTCTTTGTTATTGATGGTGGTGGATAATCATGGTTGAGTGATATGTATGCATGTGTTCGTGTTTGTGTTGTGGATTCTTCAATTCGTAGTGAATGTGAACTGTGAGTGCGATTGTTTTCNTGTTATCAAGGGACGTAAGGTGGGGGGGGCTGCCAATTTAGCTCCAACCGTGCCATTTTTGGCCCTATTGTACTTCAAATGGCACTTTTTTTTTTAATTTGGCACAAAGTGCCAAAATTGCACTTTTGAAAAATAGTAGTATTTCAATACATTTTTGTGAAATCCATTGCGTCTACATCTTTTTCTGAACTAAAATTTTCTAATTTCTATAGTGTATAGTACAACTGGTTTATCTTACTTTGGCATTGGACTTTGGTTTTAGGAATAAGTTTCTAATTTTAATGCTAAATGGGAATAATTAAAAACAGTGACGCCTTTTTTGATACTTTTATTTTTCTATTTGGCACATTTTGGCACTTTTTTATCCTCAATATGGCACTTCATAGCTAAATATAGTAGTTGGCAGCCCTGAAGGTGGGGCTGTATATCAATGTCCGACTCGTTACGTATCTGATCGGCTGTTCCTCTACCTCAATTGCTTTAGCTCGCCTCAGCTGAGTTTGTTTTTACTTATCTGCTGCTTCTTACACATACATATATTTTATGTATGAAGGAATATGTATTTCGTATATGTATATACATATGTATGTAAATATGTATGTAGTATATACATATATACACCATCTTGTTTGGTATAGCTGACAAGAGACTTAAGCTAAAATTAGTCGAGAACGCAGAACGTATACTTAAACGCAGTCTGTATACGCAGAATTTTGTCGATTACTGGAGCCCTCAGTGTTGCTTACTACACTGTTGCCACTCATCAATGCCTTTTCATAAACTTACCCTTTCAACTACAATTTTTCGTGCTATAATAGATTTTAGCTAAATATAAACTACTTAGTTTTCAGCAAAAACCTTATTCAATAGTAAATTTCAAATATTTTAAACATATTTTGAGTAGGAACTTATATCTTTTTTACCATCAGTAAAACTGACGAAGTGGCAACCATCTAAAGAAGGAGAAATCAGCTGACACGGAAAAATCTAAATTCCGCAGATTTCTGCGCTACGGGCTACAACTACAGAAAAATTCTGCGGTGCTGAGTTTTCATTTACATGGCGCTTTGGTAAGACAGATCGTGTCAGCTGACTCGGGTCTACGTACCGGTAGGTTTACGTTCTTGACTAATTTCAGCTTTAGGGGTATTTGTTTATCTGTTATGCGCACGCCGTTGTTTCCGCTCTTGACTTTCGTCGCTTCAAAGCAGACATATGATTTTTGATACATTGCATTCACCATGCTTCCCAAGAATGATAGAATACAAGATTGCGCCGATCAGAGAGGATTTTTGAGAATAACTTTTGTGTGACGTCACACTGGTGCAATTGCGAGAGAGAAATGCCAAAACGTGAGCAAGAATGGAAGAAGAAGAAAAAATGATGCAAAGNACCAGTGTGACGTCATGCAAACAACGATTCTGTCAAATTCGTTAAGAGAAAAATAGCGGTACCGAGATCGGCGCAACCTTTGTATTCTCTCAATCGTGCATGCTTCCAATCTTTTTATTTAAATTTGTATGTAAGTATGTACATATAGATACATACATATATGCGAATGTGCATATATGTAAGGATACATATACATATATATGCGTAGCTATCTAAACAAATATATATACATAAATACAATTGTGCAAAACTTAATAAAAATATTGAGCGTTTTTGAGTAATTTTCTTTATAAAAGTATAGCTCAATATCTAATAAAAACCATATATGTACATACGTACATACATATGTACATGCAAACTTTGGGCAAAATTATAAAAAATACAAAAAATGCAGTTTTGGCATGTATAATAAAGTGCAAGTTTCAAGTGGCTACAAAATACCGTTTATACTTTTTTTCAAAAATTAGTAAACAAAAGAAAAATGTCAAAATTAGTGAAAATGTCGCACTAGTTATTATTTTGCACGCAGTTGTACGTTCTTCTTTCTTAACAGCGGTCGTCCCTCGGCAGGCAATGGCAAACCTCCGAGTGTATTTCTGCCATGAAAAACAGCTTCTCATAAAAATACAATCGCCGTTCGGAGTCGGCGTAAAACTGTAGGTCCCTCCGCTTTGTGTGACAACATCAAGGCGCACGCCACAAATCGGAGGAGAAGCTCGGCCAAACACTAACATATGTGTAAGCGCCAATCTATTATTATTATTAGTTGTACGTTCTTCTAGGCATCAGAGGTACACAAACCCTGTAGGAAAATGTAATACATATATGTATGATAATTGAAAAAATAATCAGGAAACCAACCGTTTTCACATTCGAAAATGCATTATTTTTCCCACGGCGATGCCCGTCCTAAGAAAAGTGGGGCATTTTATTTTGCTTACCAGTAATGCAGGAATAAATGCGATTTTTTGCGACTTTTTGGATACATCAAAATACTGGTTACATATGTATTAAACAATAATAGAATCTAGAACTCATAAGAAATACATTATAGTATTTATCACGCATGTAATGCGTCACTGCTTTTCCCACTGAGAAGTTTTAGCTTAACTGGTTTGAATAGAAAGAAGGCAGAATCGTTAGGATGTTAAACAAACTAGGGAAAAAAATAATAATAAAACGTAATTTATGAAAAAATTCAATTCAATTCGGCTCTCTTGCCCTTGGTTGGATGCATATGAATGTACATACAAATGTATGTATGCATGTGCTGAACACAAATATACTTTTTACGTATGTACATATATACACGCGCTTAGAAACACACCTACATATGTATGTACATACATACATACATATATGTATGTACTATGAGTTGTATAATTATAAGACCGCAACATATTAATAAGTTTTGACTATTTATTTTTATATTATTTAATTTCAATTATTTTCTTAGAAAAATATAGTTCATTCTATATAAACACCGTACAAATCCACATTTCAAACTTTGTGCCAACGTTACTAAAAATCAGTGAATTTTCACCGAATTTTACACTTTTTTTTAAGAATTTTTGGAATAGTTTTGCGTGTGCAGTTTTATAGACCATGCAATTTTAGTAAAATAAAGTGCGAGTTTCATTTGGCTACGAAATACCGTTGATTTTTCACGGTATCACTCATTTTGTTCCATACAAAGTATGTTCGAAAATTTTTTTATATAGAAGAAAACCAACAAAAAAAAAAAATAAAAATCAAAAATCAACGGTATTTCGTAGCCACATAAAACTCGCACTTTATTATACTGAAATTGCATGAGCTAGAAATTGCATAGGCAAAAAACACGTTTCCAAAAATTAAAAAAAAAGTAAAATTTTGGCGAAAATTCGCTGAGTTTTTATAATTTTTGCACAAACTTTGAAATGTGGATTTGTATGGTATTTGTTATGGAATCAACTATATTTTTATAAGAAAATAATTTAAATTAAATAATATAAAAATAAATAGCCACAATTGTTAATATGTGGCGGTCTTATAATCATGCAACGCAGTGTGTAAACATAAATAAATGTAGGCAAACCTGTATGTATAAATGTATGACGCAGTTACGTTGCATCTATTGCGTCGTTTAAATAAACTAAGGGATTTGTCTTTATAAGCTGTAATCCACCCTCCTTTCACTGCACACGTGCATACATATGTATGTATGTACATATGTAACGTAATCAATTTGTGTTGATAACTAGTGCCATAACTATGCATGGGACATTCCACTCACAGCTACATAAGCAAATTTGATTCCAAAATCTTTTTTTTTTTTGCAAAAAACAAAATTTTTTCAAATGTGAAAAACAGTTATATCTACATACAGTCACACACAAAACTATTTTGCATTGATTTTTTTACGATATTCAAAACGCTTTTCATGGTAAAATTTTTCGTAATTTTTTTTTTATAAATAGTAATAGCTGCAACAAAAAAATGTGTAAATAAAACTTCCTAACTTTGCACAAAATTACTGATAATTCAAAAAATTTAATCAGAACTCTTAAAATAAATTCGAATATGC